CGCCATCCCGCTCTGCTGCTGTCTCATCGGTACTCATGATTCCGATGGTGTGCCGGTTATCTACAATGTTGAATTGATTTTCCAAAATGAGAAATGAAAAACTAAACTGAAACTAATCCCCAACCTCTCCTGAACCCTTATTCTATTTATCTCCAATCAAATTGCGACTGCAAATTCATACAAGGAGAAGGAAGTTGAGGAGGCAGATCCATGGATTCTCCCCGCAACTGGTGCTATTAGTCGCATCCCAACTCCATGAATTTGCCATCTATTATATGTTTTTGGAAGGAAAAAATTCTAAGTAAGGAGAAAAAAAATAGATGGAGAACAATCTGGATCTATAGAGCTGATAGAGTCTCACTCTCACAGAGATAGAGACACGGAGAGAGAGGATATCGAGGGGGAACTGAAGCAAGGAAAAAATTAGAAAATTTGTTTGTGTAATTGTGTGCCGAGTTGGAGAGAGGGAGTGATTAGAAGAGAGATGGAGAGGAAAGAGATTGGTATCATGGGATGCTTTGTAGGGATGACAATTTCGACCTGATCCGTTTTACCCGACCTGTTTGACCTGTTTTGGGGCGGGTTCGACCTGTCTTATCGACCCGACCTGCCCTGACCCGCCCCATTCTCGACCCGTTCTTGTCTAAATTACATGTAATTTTAGTCAAATTACTTAGGATTTTCCTTTTATTGCATCATATTTTAGATATAAGAAAGTTGTAAATTAGTGAAAACCTCAATTTCTCCAATAATTTAACTACAATTATCACAATATTGTTTGTTTTCTTAGTCTTATAATAAAAATAATGAATATTTCTAATGTTTTTAATATAAATTGCATACCCATTGGGTCGACCTGCCCCGACCCACGACCCGTGATCAATTACCCGACCTGGACTTGACCTGCCAATGGGCGGGTCTGGGTACCAAGAAACCCGCCCCGGACCTGCCCCATTGCCATTCCTAATGCTTTGGTTGTTGATATTATTATTATATTCATAAAATTGTTAAATTATAGCTTATACTATTATCAATTATATGAATGGTTCTTTTATAGATGGGTTAATATTTTATTTTGGTCCGAACAATGACCATATAATCAATTTTGGTCCGTGGTTTCAAAAATTAACATCCTAGCATCAACTATGCAGCCTATATACTCAATTGGACCGACACACGGTTTGTATCGTCAATTTGGACGGTCAACACAGTTGATCATTAGTCAACACGTCATGTCAGCCTAAAAATCATTAAAAAATTAAATTATTTTCCTAATTTATATGATTTATCATTTTCAAATTAACCAAAAAAAATAAAAATTTAAAATATTTTGATAACTTTTGGTTAATTTATAAAACTTATCATTTTCAAATTACCCAAAATAAAGATATTTTTAATTTTTTATAATTTAATTTTTGGTTAATTTGATAATGATAAATAATAGAAATTAGGAAAATAATTTAAATTTTATTTTTTTAATGATTTTTAGGCTGACAAGACAATGACATGGTGTGTTGACTAACGGTCAACGGTGTTGACCGTCCAAATTGACGGTCAAACCAAGTGTCGTGCCAATTGAGTCTATATTTTGCATAATTGAGGCCAGAATGTTAATTTCTGAAACCACGGGCATAGTTGATTATATGGTCATAGTTGAAGCCAAAATAAGGTATTAACCCATTATATAATTGTTGCATTTAAGTTAACAGTTGAACAACCTCTCTTTGATTTAGATCATTATCCAAATCAATTTTGAGTTTGACACACTGAAAGCTAGAAGTCAAGTAGATGAATTCCCTTTTTTTTCATTAAAATGCAAATGGGCAACAAGGCACTATGGAAAAGTACAAAACATAATACAACTAGAGAAAAAAATTATACCAAAGTCTACAAAAGCCAAGAAATCCAATAGGACCCGGACACCCAATCAAGGCTGCAATACAATAATCAAAACCTAATTGGACTATGCTCCCAAAGAAAAGAATAATGACTGAAATATCATCTCTGGATATGCTTGCTTAGCTGTGACTTTGGAAAATTACATATACAAAATGTTTGAATACTATTCATTATGCACAATTGCGATTTAATTAATTTTTATTGGACTCGGTTATCGATTCTTAAAATTGGAATACGTACATATCTTATACATCAATAATTTTATTATGTTAATGTATTCTTTGATGTTAAAAAGTACAAAACTCTCTTTTGTTATTGGCGTAGTTGCACTTGCAGGTCTCTTTTAAAAAACTTGGCTTTGGTTTATGCCTAATGAAGTTGTTTTCGATTCTCAGAATTGATCGCAGGAAGTGATAATTGCAAATTTTGGCTAAATAGTTGCTTGATTGTATTTGATTGCTTCTGATGACAATTGTTATTTGTTGCTTTCAATCATAGGCTTATACCCCAATCTGTAGGACACCAACTACAAGATGCAGCCCTAATATGATTATAATTTGTATTTAGATTGGTTGGCCTAACTGTATTAATGATAGTTTGATGGTTTCTCTTTCGTTGCACCTTAATTTGTTGGGAAAAAATCCAAAAGTACCACTGTTTAAAAAAACAAATTTCAAAAATACCACCCAACCCCAAAAAATTCCAAAAATACCACCCTTTTTTAAAAACCGTCACTCCACCATGCGGTTTACACGAAAATCGCTTGTCGGGGCGCGGTTTTCTATGCAAACCGCGGGGCTAAGGGGCGGTTATAAAAAAAAAAATTTGGACCAAACCGCTGGGAGGGGTGGCGGTTTTGGTCCAATTTTTTTTTTTCAAATCCAACTCCTAACTTCGGCCGAAACTTCAAACGAATGTAACTTTCCACTCGGGTATCCGATCGTAGCGATGTTTTTTTCATTTCGCATAACTTTTCAAGATCTACAACTTTTACTAGGATGAAATTTTCAAAACAGGAATTATTGTGGATATACGGGACCTTGGGAATAACTTTACCTTTACTTTTCACAAATCCATGTACATTTTGAAATTATGATTATGTAAAAAGTTGTAGATCTTGAAAAGTTATGCGGAATCAAAAAAAATTCATAACATTCGGATTTGGGAGCACAAAGTTATGGCCGCCCAAAGTTTGACGAAATAAAAAAAACTCATTCGGGGTTGCAAATGACGTTTTCTCGAGACGAAGGCGGGACCCGGTGGTTAGCGGCTTGCAAGATCTCAAAAAGTTATTTGGATTCAAAAAATGGAGGCCGCAAACTTTTTGAGATCTTGCAAGCCGCAAACTGCCGGGTCTCGCCTTTCGTCAAACTTTGGGCGTCCATAACTTTGTGCTCCGAAATCCAAAAGTCATGAATTTTCTTTTGATTACGCATAACTTTTTAAGATCTACAACTTTTAATATAATCATAATTTCAAAATGTACATGGATTTGTGAAAAGTAAAGATAAAGTTATTCTCAAGGTCCCTTATATCCACAAATAATTCCTGTGTTGTAAATTTCATCCTAGTAAAAGTTGTAGATATTGAAAAGTTATGCGAAATGAAAAAAAATCGCTATGATCGGATACCCGAGTGCAAAGTTACGTTTGTTTGAAGTTTCGGCCGTAGTTGGAAGTTGATCGGGAAAAAAAAAAATTTGGACCAAACCGCTGGGTGGGGTGGCGGTTTTGGGCCAAACCGCCACCCCACCCAGCGGTTTGTTCCAATTTTTTTTATAACCGCCCCTTAGCCCCGCGGTTTGCATTGAAAACCGTGCCCCCGACAAGCGGTTTTCTTGTAAACTGCAGGGTGGGGTGGCGGTTTTTGAAAAAGGTGGTATTTTTAGAATTTTTTGGGGTTGGGTGGTATTTTTGAAATTCTTTTTTTAAACAGTGGTATTTCTGGAAAAAGTCCAATTTGTTGTACATCATTAAGAAAACATACCGCTATTCATATTTTGGAGGGGAAAAAAAGATCTTCAATTTGGAAATCAACTTGCACATGTAATTTTCTTATGAAGTTTATGTAGTTATACATTCAAGAATTGTAACTATTGGAAGGGTTCTTAGAGGGGTTTCAATGGGAATGAAACCAAGGCAAGAAAAAACCCAAGAAACATCGATAAATTATAGGAGTAAATAACTTAAATGAAACAATGACAACAGAATTAGAGTATAAACTCTTTAAAGAACACATCATCTTCATAATATAAACAACAACATCTCTCAACACATAATATGCATTTTAGCTTCCATTGTAAACAACTAGGTAATTTTATTAGTGCCTTCTGTCTGCAAATATTTGTAGGTCCTGAATCCTGATGGTTACATTCATGATGACGGATGTATTAACATATTTGGAATGATATATATGTCCTACATTCCATGTTTAATTTTTTTCGCGTCTTTTACCCACCACACCACAAATTAGCTTTTAAGTAATCTTGGATGATTAAATAAAATTAGTGTGCAATTCATAGATAAATTATGTTGAAATTATTAATAATTTGGCCAGTGGGTCGGATACTAAACTAGAAATTTAGTTAACCAGAAATCATTAACTAAAAATTATGCTACTTAATTCTTCCTCTATTCAGCAGGTTACCCCTCCAAAAAAAAATTCCTCTATTTTTCAGAGGTTTATATGATACCGGCCAACGGGCCGGGCCCAATGCTAGTATCAATAAAGAAAGAGTTTCCTTCCCCACTCCTCAGTCAATCCAAAATCCCTCTTCCAATCTTCAATTATAAAAAATCCAAAAAGCTTTCTTTCTCTGTACAAAAACGTGGCCATCATATCATATTCCAAATTCCATTTTCTTAGCCCATAAACGTGGCAACCAAGTTGAGAAAGGAAATAATTATTTTATTTCCAACAAAGTGGATACGATACTCGTCTTGTGGATAACGAAAACACATATGGAATGGGACACGAAATTGGAGCCATTGCCAAACGACTAAGCTCTACTTCCATTTGCCCTGTTTCTTTAATCTCCTTCCCCTGGATCTTACCCAATCTCCTCCTGAATCTCAAATCAAACCTCTCCACCTTCAATAACCATGTCGAACCAATTAGACCACTATGCCGACCAGCCCGAGCCGACGACGCGACCGGTGGGCAGAACCGAGTACAGCTGGTGCAAAGCCGTCCCCGCCGGAACCGGCATCACGATCCTAGCCCTTCTCCTCTCCAAACCCCCGGACATACCAATTCTCCACAATGCCATCCACAAGCTCCAGAACTCGCACCCGATCCTCCGCTCCAAGCTCCACCTCGACACCGCCGCCAACACCTTCTCTTTGGTCACACAGCCGTCACCTCACCTCCAAATCCAGCAGTTCGATCTCTCCTCCACCGCCGACATTATCAACAACGCTGGTGACAAAATCGAAAAGTTCTCGATCCCCGTGCACCAGCTGGTCATCGAGCACGAGATGAACAAGAATCCTTGGATCACCGAGCCAAACGTCCCCGACCTATTCTTCACGAGCTCGAACACCCTGAGCGAGACACAGTGGCTCCTAGCGCTCCGGCTGCACACTGGGCGTGCGATAGGTCCTCCGCGGTGGCTCTGCTGGCGGAGCTACTGAGGTTGGTCGACGGCGGGAGGGATGATGGTGGTGGGAAATAAGAAGAAGAAGAAGAAATGGAGGTTGGATTGGGACTGGGAATTGAGGAGTACATCCCGAGTGGGAGAGCGAATAAGCCGTTTTGGGCTCGTGGGGAGGACATGCTAGGTTACTCACTGAATGCGCTGCGGACGGCCCATTTGGAATTCGTCGATGCCGCCGGCTCCCCCCCGCTGCTCTCGCTTGGTGAGGCTATGCTGAGCTCCGACCACACTTCCCCAAGCTCGTCGCCGTAAGTCGGCCCCTCACCTTGTTATGGATTGTCATTTATGCGGTCCACATTGCTTTCTGTCATTCAACTGATATATATTAGCAGTAGCACACTCTCTAAGATGGTATATTGTTTCAAAAGAAGCGCAACCGTATGCATTTGTAGACTATACTAAACGGTAGTCGTAGAGACATATATTTCACTTGATCTTCTCCCACAGTAGTCAACCCATCGTGGGTCAATGGGAAGCTCTCAGCAACTTGAACCATTGAGATGAATCGATCTTGTTCACGACTTGGTTCATAGCCCATTACTGGAAAAATTGGGTAGAATGTGGCCAATTTCTGGTGAACATTGACCATTCTGTATCTGTAATTTATTGATTAGGATCGTAATCATGTTGAACCAAGCCGTTAGGCTACCTTGGTGGGTGGGTCTGTGGGATGGTCAGAGAAAGTGACTCTCCAACTGATTAATCTTTTGAGTTTCATGCAGTTGGCGTCCTGTGTTTATGAAATTGCAGGCCTGCCACGCAAGGAATATGAAACTGTGCGCAGCACTAGCAGCTGCTGCAATGATCCCCGCACGTTCTTCCAAAGACCTTCCTGACCAACTCCAGCGAGAGCAATATTCCATCGCAACCCTCCTCGATCGACGCTCCATTCTCGACCCTGTCCTCAGCATCCCCACTAGAGGTGGCAATTAGGATCCAAATCCATGAATCCAATCCAATCCATCCACCAAATTATCCACCTAATCCAATCCATTTAAATCCAATCTATTTGATCCAAATCCAATTGGATTGGTGGATTCATGGATCAATCTATGGATCCAAATGGCAAATTACGATTTGGTACTTATATTTTTTATATTTTACATTTTGGTACCTAAAATTTATATTTTTATACGAAAAATATCATTGGAAAATTAAATTTTGGTACCTAAAATTTTTCATTATGACATTTTAGTACCTAAACTTTTCAAAATTTACATTTTGGTCAAAGCCTTGGATGTTATTTGGATTCATGGATCAATCCACCAATCCATTGGATCCAATCCATGAATCCACCAATCCATTGGATCCAATCCATTTAATCCATGGATCCACGAATCCAATCCACGGATCCATGAATCCGATCCAATTGCCACCTCTAATCCCCACCTCGGTCAGTTCACTCAAAAATACTTTGCCTTGCCCTGCCCTGTCCATGTCTTAAAGATGTGCGAAGGATGAGGCACGGGATGAATAAGCTAGCTAGGTCAAACTGGGAGGGTTTCAAAGACATTTTCTCAACTTGTTTCCTACAGGTTTCTACCACTCGGTCATTACCAATTCACGCGACGTCAACCGGGAGGACGAGCTGTGGGAGCTGGCTCAGATGTGTTATAAATCCTATGCTGACGCCAAGAACAACAACAAGCACTTGAGCGACATGTCAGACCTCAACTTCCTCATGGTTAAGGCCATCGAGAACCCTGGCCTAACACCTTCTTCGGCCCAGCGAAACGCATTGGTCTCGGTGTTCGAGGATGTGCTGATCGGCCACACCAACGATCTGCATTCCCTGCTTGGCGTGGAGGACTTCGTAGGGTGTGCTTCAGTCCACAGCGTGGGGCCATCCCTCGCCATTTTTGATACCATCAGGAACGGGGAGCTCGATTGTGCGTGTGTTTATCCGTCACCAATGCACTCCAGGGATCAGATGCACAAGTTGGTGGATGATATCAAGCGGATTCTCGTCGATGCCTTATGAAAAAGAGTGACATGACCGCAGATTTTTAACCTTGTTGATTGTTAATCAAGGAGGCGGGCAGTTCATGAACATGGTCGTCAATCCGTCTTTTGGGGTTGCAACAACTGTGCAATGTTGATAAAATTAAATAAAGAAGAAGGGAGTTCCTTTATTGTCGTTTTTGGATCGGGTTGAGCTTGTACTTGTGAGAAGGCAGATGCAGACAACCAGAAAATGTTTCGTTTAGTGTTCCTTTTACCTACAGATGTGTCAGTCTTAACCAGAGAAAAACACGAGCGAGATCGGGACGGTGAAGGTGCAGAAGCAGAGGATGAAGTCAAGCTTAGCTCTGTCAAATTGACAGGACTTCCGCTTTCATTCTATCGCGTTGATTGGGGAAGAAAAAGACACGTTGAATTTGTAAACAGTAAACACTTGATGGTGTTGTCAACAAAAATCGTGATCAGGCTAGGTTTTACCATTGGTTCTATTTCGATTGGATTTGGAGCACTTCTACTCTACTTTAAAGTATTTTGGTCTATTTGACATGGAAGTTTTCGAAGAAAAGAGGAAAGAGAGAGGCGAGGGCAGAAAGGGGCGTCGATGCGTTAATAAGAAATAACGCCACCTCAAGTTATTCTCTTTAACGCGTTTTTGCCTTATTTCAAAATATCTCATCCCTGTTAGAAACCGAACAGAAAAACTGGAGTTACCGATCTGGCTGAGTCACGGACTAGGTCGCTCTCTTTAAGACGTTCGTGGCACTGCCTCGTATTGTGCACAACAGACTATCAGTCGGTCGCCTCCAGGATAAAACAACCATTCTAATTTTGTTGCTCATCGGTTTTGTGCGAAAAACCGGAGCTCTATGAATTCATCTCTCTCGTGTTTCTGCTATTCTGAGGTATATTTAGAGGGTCTAGGGGTCTGCTATTTATAGGAGCAGAAAACCTAGAATATTCCCTCTTTCTTTGGGAATATGTCACATTTTAATTAGGAAGATAATTACTCCCATAATTAAAATATATTATATTAAGATAATTAATACTAATTATCTTCATAATATTCTTATTATTAATAATTATCCTTCTTATTTTCGTATCTAGAAAGAATACTGGATAATTAATTCAATATAGCTTTCAAAGCTATTCATTCCCAACAATCCCCCATTTGAATAGTTTTGAAACTATCTCTGAGCATCAACAGATCCATAAGATCGGCCATAAGCTAAGGTATCGCGAAGATTTGAACCTTAGCGTAGTGGTTACATTTCCGATTTCATAAGGGTGACTCGTAGTTTTGAACCCTAACTCAGACAATGTAGCACACCGGATCTTTTCATTGAGTGATATTCTCTCATTAGCAAACCTTTTAAACCGAAGTTTAGTTGCTAGATAATGATTTCAACAACGGAAGTAGGGATAGACGGACCGACCCGGGTCGATATCTAAATACTTGCCCTATACTGCACCCGATTAGAGTTTAAAAAATTGGGCTCTAATTGGGGTTTTATTGTGGTGTAGTTTCCTGCGAGTCAACAACACCGACTAAACACCAAAGATCAACTTCAGAATATAATTAATCTTTCTGTTGGTATGTCAAAGAAGGAATATCAAATTTTAAAGATATAACGCTATTTAGTTCGGACGAGTCTAGTTAATAGGATGAAACTAAAGGAATTTTGCCTCATGAACTTTGTACTGCGCATCTCCTTTAAATGAGCTACATAAAGTTACATTGCATAGGAAGGAATACAAAAATAGAATATGAAAGAAAATAGAACGAAGAGAAAGAGAATCAGATTCTATTTGTGTTGTATCCAAAATGAATCTTGGATATTCTCATCCGTCAATTCCCATAAACTAGACCTTTATGTCTGTGAGACAACTAATTAAACCTTCCAAAATTAAGTATTAACCTTCGTTTTGACCAAGCGGAGGCACATTATGAACAAATAAAAAAGAAGAGGAAACAAAATCGACTTTTTTTATATACTTTATAACATAAATTCGTTATTCATTTAATTAAAATAAGCTATATTTTCAGACATCTAGTGAGTATGAGAATTTATACTATAAATGAATATGTATGTTACTGAATATGTATATAATTCAATATAGTAATTTAATTAATTTTCGAATAGATAGTCCTACATAAACTTATCATATCATGTGTCAATTACCATATTTGAACCGGTGACACGAGGATTTTCAGTCATCTGCTTTACCTTGCTACAATCTAGCTATGACCAGGAGAATTAGAGTAATAATAAGTCACTCCAATCCTCATCCCCACTCCCCAATACTCAAGTACACATTCGCTCATCGATGTGCTAGCATAGAGGACAGAGCCAAAATTTCAATACCTATGCCATTTTCTCCATAAATGAGCTTGTTGTCTGACACGTTGGTCAGAATGTCATTTGATTACAATGTATTTTTATGTGTATTTAAAATTTTATATTATTTTAAATGCTGATCTTCGTATGATATTAATGTGACATGGAAATTATTTTTCCATTTTCAAAATTCTTATAACTTTTCATCAGTAATAAACATTGTAATCTTAATAGTTATAACCAAAGTTGTCAAACCGGTTTAAGACGTTGTACCGATCAAGCAAGTGGTTTGAAGTTTAATGGTTTGATTGAGGTCCAACCTGTTTAAGCCGTTTTACACCTTTTCTAAATATATTTATGTATAAGATAGAAATTTAGTGACTAAAATGGAAAGTTCTAACTTATGTCTATTAACAACTCAAATTCCATAAAAAATACCTATCTCAAGATCCACCCACCATCCCCTTGCCTCTATCTTCTTCTCCCTCTCTAACAATCAAAACTTTGGTTTTGTAGAGCCCATTTTGGAGCACAATTTTGGTCGGACCTAGTACAACCATTCGTCCGATAGAAGTGTAACAATCTTGATTATAACACCCGTGAATAGCCATTCATAACTTGTATGTTTAATAATGTAGTCACTTAGTTGCCTATGGTGGAAAATAAATTTGACATAACAAAAGAAGAGTTTGTCTGAAAAAACGTAGCATAAATAGGAAACTCATGATCATGACCTTTAGTCAATATTTATTTATTTTGTTTGAGAAATAATACATAAATAGCAATATCTAAACCTTAATGTATTATACACAATACAATAACAAAATTAATAAGGATGATACATATGGTCAATTATCCTATAAGATAAAAGATTTAAATAATTGAAATCGTATAGAAAAATTGGTATTCAAAAAATTGTGTTCTTTTAAACTCACCCATTTGTCCAATCATGCCATATTATCAAGAGATTTAGGATTTAACGGTTAACCAAACTAAAACTTTCAAAGAGCTTGCCACTTATAGTTTGAATAACAATATCGTTGCTTTTATACTTCTAAAAATTAAAACCAAGTTAAGAATTATACATCACTTCTACACAATATTGAAATTCAATGTGCACTATTTGGAACAATCATATTTGGGTTGCAATTTTCAAATTATCCCCCATTTATAATATAGACATGAATTAAATTTATTATTAAACTCAAATTAAAATAATCAAAAGATAAAAATTCAAATATCAAATAACAAAGAAAGTACTTACGGGAGAGTTAGTGCTGGCTAACCGTAGTGGAAAACTCATGATTTTTAGATTTTTAGTATTTAGAAAGATAGTGCAATTGGTAACGGTTGTTGTCTTTGTTTGGAAAGATCATGATTCAAATCTCAAGATTGATGTATTTTTATTCTTATGAATAAAAAATAAATAATGATTGTGAAGAGAAAATTATCATGCCTACTTTCTCTCTAGTTGTAGCAAATTTGAAATGCTACTCCTAGGGATGGCAATGGGTCGGGTCGGGCGCCGATAGTGCATATCCGTTACCCTACCCATAGTAGTTCTGGTTTTACCTATACCCATACCCACATGTGAAACGGGTAGAAAATCAAAACCATGCCCATGCCCGTTCGGGTTTCGGGTATCCACGGTTATCCATGGATAATAATTTCTCTTCATAACTCCAACCAATATGTTAACATTCATACGTATTCTCAAATTACGTAAGAGGAAAAGTACGCCAATAATTCACTAGAATGAAGAAAATTAATTAAAACTACACAATTTCATGAAAATATTATATTTATATGCTAAATATAAAATATGTTAGAGAAAAATATTGATTATTTCTAGACAAAATACATATGCATGTGTAAAATCGGACGGGTTCGGGTTGGATAGTGAGAAATCCATGTCCACCCATTACCCGCGATATTCGGGTTCGGATTTTACCCGTACCCACTAAATGTCCTTCGGTTTCGGGTTTTACCCTACCCGATTAGGCCGGATTCGGGCGGATATCCACGATTACGGATATTTTTGCCATTCCTAGCTACTCCCAACTCTGCTATAATATATTTGTAGGTTTAAAAAGATACCATACATTTCTTTAGTGCAATTGATAATGTTTGTTGTCTTTATTTGAAAAGACCATGATTCAAATATAGAGATTGATATATTTTTATTCTTATGAATAAAAAATATTTCCTTGCAGTAAATTTGAAATGCTGAATAACTGCTCTCAACTGTACTCTAATAGTTCCCTAAAAAAACTCTACTGTAGTAGTAACGTAGTAATATTTTGAATTTTTTTAAACGTTAATTTTAGAAGGAAAAAATCCCACGGGCCAAGTGGTTTTGGCCGATTTCGTTGCACTACCGTTATACACGTGGACATCTCTAAAATCAATGGCGGAGGATATTGGAAGTGGAATGAATTCGCTGGGCTGCGGAGCTTGTGATCCTAACTCTACGAAGATAAGAGATTGAAGAGGCGACGACAAATAAGAATCGGATATCCAGCTGATAGATAAAGTAAACAACATATATATAGAACTCCGGCGCCTTTGTTTGCCGGCAATGGAGGCCGTACAATTTTCAACCGTTTCCTCCCGCCATTTTCCTTCGGATTCCTTGCAGAAGAGTTCCGGAAGCTTGTCTAGTTGCAAATGTGCGGTCAATTACGCTCAGGCTGTCCGTTCTTCATGGACCGGTTCGAACAGCGTTGTTTCTCTTTCATCCAGAAATCCGTTTACCGTAAGTCAAAAGGAACTTAAACGTGTAACTCACTCCGATGCTTTCTCACGACGGAAATGTTTGATTTCTGGTTGGGATTTACTTTGAGCAGAGAGAACTGTGGGGTTGGGTGAATACCAGGGGTGTTGCTCTGCCTCTGAGAAGAGATACGCGTGGCGTGGTGAGAGCAGAAATGTTCGGGCAGTTGACCAGCGGGCTTGAAAATGCTTGGAACAAGCTCAAAGGAGAAGGTAATCTCTTATCGCCTATTCTTCTCGTGTAAAGATCTTCAGTTGGTATTTTCCTACTTGAAGTTTCGAATAGTAATTAGTCATGGCGTTTCAGAGGTTTTGACGAAGGAAAATATTGTGGAGCCTATGAAAGATATTAGGAGAGCTCTTCTGGAAGCAGATGTGAGTTGCTTTGGTATTCATGGCTCGAGATTAGAGTAATTTCCTAATGAAACTTCATATATATATATATATAGTATTAAGGTTGCTATATATATTTGTGGTAGGTAAGCCTTCCAGTTGTTAGAAGGTTTGTTCAATCAGTTAGCGAGGAGGCCGTTGGGGTAGGCCTCATTCGAGGAGTAAAGCCTGATCAGCAGTTGGTCAAGGTATGCATTTCAATGGCGCAATGCAATTATATTGGTAACTGGTAATAAGTGATGACTTGTAGTCTTCCTCAGCTTTTTGTGCCCGATAAGAATTGGGTGTTGGTGAAGCATTCAATTGATATGCTTTCAGTTGTCAAGTTTGCTTAAGCTACACTGAAGCGGTTGTCAGATTATGTAACTTATCTGGTTACTGCAGATTGTACGTGACGAGTTGGTGAAATTAATGGGAGGAGAGGTGTCAGAACTAGTTTTTGGGAAATCTAGCCCTACAGTCATATTATTGGCTGGTCTGCAAGGAGTTGGCAAGACAACTGTATGTGCAAAGCTGGCAAACTATCTTAAGAAACAGGTAGGTAGTCGAAGAGATGCTCTTTATATTCTCTTTGTGGCATTGGTACAACTTTCAGCAGAAACTGTGCTCCTAGCTTAGTAAACAACAATAGCATTCTGCATCATCTCTTAGTTCTCACTTGTTATTGTTGGCACAGGGAAAGAGTTGTATGCTTGTTGCTGGAGATGTGTACAGGCCTGCTGCTATTGACCAACTTGTCATTTTAGGTGAACAGGTAGTATATTCCCTACTTCACCGAAGTATCAATACCATCCTGTTTATGTTGAAAACCTTTCAGCGTGTCCTTTGTTCTAGTAATAAACTGCAATTATTCGCCACTGGATATGCAAAATGTCGTTTCTTGTAATGAAAACTATATCATGGAATGCTTGTATCAGAAATTCCTTCCAGATTGAGTCCTTGTGTAATACCAGAAGTCTGTTGTCCATAGAGTTGAATGGTTATCAGCCATGAAATTTTTTCACATCAATAGTTTTCTGCAGGTGGGCGTTCCTGTTTATGCAGAAGGGACAGATGTCAAGCCTTCTGAAATAGCTAGGAAAGGCTTACAGGAGGCTAAAAGGCAAAATGTTGATGTTTTGATAGTAGATACTGCTGGAAGGCTTCAGGTGAATATGTAAATCACAATAGTTATGCAGTTCTTGGAAAGTTCTGTGGCTTTGTCCTCTGGCTAAATAATTAATGGCTTAATTGTTTACAGATAGACAAAGGGATGATGGATGAATTGAAAGATGTGAAGAAAGTCCTGAATCCGACTGAGGTTTTGCTTGTTGTGGATGCAATGACGGGCCAGGAAGCTGCAGGTTATCCCTAATTATTTTGCACAGCCAATAATTCAGAATTGCTTGGATTGATATTTATGTAAAGATCCACACGCACACACACATATAGATGGCAGCCTAGCATCTAAGCTAAAATCACAGGTGCTGTTTGCTGATGAATTGAGTGAAACTTAAGGGTTCAGATGGGACAGTTAGTCCAAATTTATGCCGGGTTTTCTTTGAAGAGAATTCGGATGTTAAGATTTACAATGAAATATTCCCTGCATTTGTGTTGTTCCTATGTGTTCTTGCTGTTGTTCACTACTTATCTTCCCAAAAGTGCTGAATTTGCTCGTTCAGAGACATCCTCACATTCAGGAATATCATCTAAGCATTATGTCATTACGCTATTGCAGCACTAGTGACGACTTTCAATGTTGAAATTGGAATCACGGGTGCCATTTTGACAAAGCTAGATGGAGATTCCAGAGGTGGGGCTGCTCTGAGTGTTAAAGAGGTCAGTTTTATTTATCTACTAGCTTGTTGTCCGATCCGTTGGTGGGAATGTCATTAAATACAATGTATGAATGATGTGTATTTAAAATTTTTAAATGACTTGAAATGCTGAATTTCGTAGGCTATTAAGGTGACATATAAATTATTTTTCCATTTTCGAAATTCTTTTAACTTTTTATCAATAATGAACATTGTTAGCTTAATTGTTATAACCAAAGTTATCAAACCGGTTTAAGTTGTTGAGTCGGTCAAGCAAGTAATTTGAAGTTTAATGGTTAGATTGAGGTCCAACCTGTTTGAGCTGTTTTACACATTTTCTAAATATATTTACATATAAGTTAGAAATTTAGTGACTGAAATGGAATATAATAACTTATATCTATTAAGAACTCAAATTCCATAAGAAAACATACTTATTTCGAATCAATGATATTTGGGTTTCAATTTTAAAATTATGCCCCATTTATACGATAGACATAAATTAAATTTATTATTAAACTCCAAGTAAAATAATTAGAATATGAAAATTCAAATATCAAATAACAAAGAAAGTACTTACGGGAAAGTTGGTGGGCTAGCTAACAGTAATGTAAAAGTTGTATGATTTTTAGATTTTAGGTTTTCAATTTTTTAATTAAAAAGATACAAAAGATTTCTTTAGTGTAATTGATAATGGTTGTTGTCTTAGTAAGGAAAGATCATGGTTCAAATCCTGGGATTGATAATGATAAACAGCAACTCACATATAGGTCCCCGCAACTGGAATTCTGTTCTGAAATCGGTTAGGATTTAGGAGTCATGGATGGTTTTCAAGATTTATTTTCCTACCGGTGAAATAACTTTGTACGACATATTAGCTTTTTAGCATAACTTCTCATTTTAAGCGGCATATCATGTATTAGATATAATGTCTGTCTAGTGGCTCTATGAGAGTTGACCATTTATGGAAGTCACTTATCATTCATCATTTTATTTGCTTCAATATCAGAAGATGAAAATAAGAAATAAAGAACTTTGTGGAATGACAGGTATCAGGAAAGCCAATCAAACTTGTGGGACGAGGAGAGAGAATGGATGACCTGGAGCCTTTCTACCCAGATCGTATGGCTGGACGTATTTTAGGAATGGGAGATGTTCTGTCATTTGTGGAGAAAGCACAAGAAGTAGTAAGTGGCTGGTAAAATCCAGGGTATTCCATTCATCTGAACAGAACATGAGTTGAATTGGAAAAATTATGGTTTCACTTTTGATATCTAGATGCGCCAAGAAGATGCCGAAGACCTTCAAAAGAAGATAATGAGTGCAAAATTTGACTTTAATGATTTCCTGAAGCAAACTCGAGCAGTCGCACGCATGGGTTCCATGACTCGTGTCCTTGGCATGATCCCAGGGATGGGAAAGGTATGGGGGACTCGTTTCAGGTTCTGCGGTTATGTCATTGCTACTGAGAAGTATGGCTTGTGTGCTGCAAGTGTTTCAGTTCGTTTGCTGACACTTGAGGCTTCAAATGGCTATGGTATTCACAATCAAACAGGTAACTCCTGCTCAAATTCGAGAAACAGAGAAAAGCCTAACGATAATGGAAGCGATGATAGAAGTGATGAGTCCAGGTCCCTTTGGATTTCTCCTCTTTAATTTGCTGTAGAATGTTGATAGTTATACTTACACAACATGCCTCCTTCTAAAAATGGGCATCAGTAATTTGCAGAGGAAAGGGAGAAGCCTGAATTATTGGCAGAGTCAGCAGTTAGGAGAAAAAGGATTGCCCAAGAGTCTGGGAAAACAGAACAGCAGGTATGCTCTGTCTACAGGAAACAAAAAAGAATCTTGTATAGGCGGCTGATCTTGTAACCTGTTTGTCCTTATAACGGCTAGTTGTACTTTGTCTTGTGTAATGAAAATAACAGGTGAGCCAACTTGTTGCCCAATTGTTCCAAATGCGTGTTCGGATGAAGAATTTGATGGGTGCAATGGAAGGTGGATCTATTCCTGCTCTGAGTAATCTTGAAGATTCCCTAAAGGCCGAACAGAAGGTACTTTATCTTCTCAACTTACTACAACTATATTCAGGATAAATAGCTAGCAGTGATAAGTATAGGCTTGCTAAATCAACGTAACTTTGGTGGGGATATTTTTCTTGTGCCTTAGGCTCCTCCTGGTACTGCAAGAAGGAAGAGAAGATCGGAGTCCAGGAAACAGTTTCAAAGCTCAGCATCTCCAAGGCCTAGTTCTCGTGGCTTCGGTTCAAGCAATTAGGATCTATCCACTCGGAAAAGATACAAGTCTGATATCCTGGAACTATCACGTTTGATTGAAGCATCCAGCGAGCGATTTGAGAGAAAGTAGTTTATGTAACAACGCATCATTCCTTTTGTTAGTCGTTTCTGTACAAGTTGTCCAGTATTTGGATGTGAACTCCTCCTGAAGATTCAATGCTTTTATTATTCCTTGTTATGAGCATCTCTTTCTCTTGGTTGGTTCTTGAGGTTGTAAGTGATTTCATTTCAAAGCAGATTTCTGTTTGGAAAATGACCAAATTTTTAGGTGAAAAAAGGAACGGGCTTGAGAATCGGGCCAGCAACAAGAGAAATCCTGGAGGGTTTTTGTGTTAACCAAACCCGGACTACTAAAAATAGTAAGTCTTACTTATATCTCATGTTTGGCCCTTGTTTATTGGTTGGTTAGTTGATTATTTACTTGTATATTTCGGATCCCATTTAATCTCCATTGAGGGTTGTGGACAGGAGCAGAAACAAACTTGGTAGCATTCCAGGACAGGACACTTGTCATTGTTCTTGCTCTCATCAGTTAATGTAAAAGGAAAAAAAAAAGTTAGCTTCTCTCTCTTTTTCCTTCTTTTTCTTCGTTGCAGAACCTAACACAGTGCAGAGGAAGGGACAAAGATCTTTTAGATCAAAACGAAGCAAAAGAGAAAAAAAGAAACAAGGAAGAAAAGATGGCAGCGGTTCCTGATAAGAAAGCATTTCCAGAAGCTAATGTAGACAAAGAGCTGAATCCTGGCCACAACAAAAGAGTCGAGCCTGATTCCACTTCCTCCAGCATTGCCGCCTCCCTTGCCAACAAGGTACTCTACTTTTGACATTTCTCGTTGTCCGATCATACTGCTTACCAATAACTGGATACCCGTAAAGCGTCGACAATGGCTTTTTCCTTAATGAATAAGGTTCTCTAGAAAACTTGTTGCGAATAGCTTGATTTAGGAATGTGGAAAAATGGTTTGCTTATGTGAATTGGGCAAATTGTGAATGTTGATTGCTTGACGTAAATAAATGACATATTACTATTTGTTTTGTTGAACACATTGTCACAACAAACGCTGATCGGGGAGGTTGTGGGTTTTGGCATGGCAGGAAAAGGAGGAGGCAGAAAAGAAGAAGGCGGGTGGGGAAAAGAAGGATAGTGGGGATGGCTTGAAAACAACGGTGATAATCTCAGTGATTTTTGCTGCTATTGCTGGTGCTGCATTTGGCATTGCTAAGAAATTGCGAGAGAAACAAACCTGAGAATTAGGAAAAATAAAGCCACCAAAAAGGAAAATCATGGCCCATTGATTAGGCTGGAAAAATCTATTAGTATCACGTGTTTTCTCCTTTTTTTTTGTTTTTTTTTTTTTTGTTTCTAGTTTGTTTTCTGTCTGCAGAAGTTGCTAGAGAGAACTGAAAGTCTCGCATGCATGCATTTTGTTAACTGGCAACATCATCAGAGGATTTTGGAGTTGGATTAGTTTGATCATTGTATTGACCTATGCGGGGACACAACAAGTGTTCATCATCCCGGCACCCACATTTTTAGGTTAACTCCTTTTTGTTTCTGTTCCCCATTGTTCAGTTCGCCCTTAGCTGTAGAACTGGAATTAGGTTACATGATGAAACTTTCTTTCTCCCAATTTCTATTATGAACTAGAAAAGCTTATTATTTTCCTTCCCTAATTCACTTTGGGCTTTTACCGTTTTGAATGAGAGGATTAAGAGGTTTCGGGTGTGGGTATGACATTCTTATAAGACTTTTCGAGTAGGTTACATTAAAAAGAAGTGTTCGAGTATGAAAAGACAATTTGACGACTAAGTTAGCTCTCGACATGCTAGAGAGAAAAATAGTTGCAAAGATTATATGTACATCGTAAGCATAACCGTCCATCAAATACTTAAATGCCACAATGAATTCCTCCACCTTTGACGATGGAGGAAATTGAGAAATCTTAACATATGATTTTAGAAAATTGTTGTGCGTTAATGTCTTCATACTCTATAGACTATAGTATGGAATGAGATTATTCAAGTCATACTTTTAATCAACATGATCTGAGTGACCCTAAACACATGGACGTAACTGTAAAGCTTTATCTTGATTACTATTGATGTGGAATTTTATAATACACAATGTACATATGTTTTCCCGGCGAGAAAAACTAGATGAACAGAATTGGATTTTGCACCTTTGACTTCCAAACAAACGATCAAACAACACAGTTCACACCTCTTTGAGCAAAGTTCAAACAAGGGTGTTCAATGTTTTGATGAACTACGAGGCAAATCTACTTTAAATTAGCCCTACTCCTATGGAGGTTCAGTGAGAGCTCCAAAAACTACGACTACGGCTAAAGTTGCAGAGGAAAAGATAAAAAGATAAAACTTGACAAGTGGTGTCGAGTTGTGATTTTTGCGAACCCCTTCTCTGTCATCTTCACCTCCTATTTATAGCCATCAGAAGTAACTGCCACAAGAAAATGCTCTGCTGACGTGGAGTGACGGTTACCCTGATGTTGGAATTGGGATCTTCTTCAGTCTTGACCTCCTCCTCTTGAGACCTCAACCAATGCTCTTGGCAAATCCTCCGTAGTTTTGCTCATCCATAGAGTAACAATGGCTAAGGCATAAAGAAATACCACTTACCACATATGGGTGGGTATTTGAATAACATGAGTTAAAAATGGCAAAAAGTACGTCACCATTATTAGAGTAAAGAGACCACCTGCTCACATGACCCCCTTGCCTTGGCCATACCATGGGGGGTGTACATTGGTGACCCCCTCACCATACCATTGGGCATCCTCCATGGGGTCATATAGATCGCCCCACCACTATATCATCCTCATGGGAGCTGGCGTTGGTGACCCCTCACCCCCTGATCATACCATGAGGGTGCTCCTTCCACCCTCATCATCTTTCATGTCATGGGGTTGGCGGTATGATGTCCATCCCCCTTGATACCTCCTGGGGGTGGTGGTATGATGCCCACCCCCCTCACCATGTTCTGGTAGTGGTATGATGGTGGCCACTCCCTTGGTACCTCCTGGGGGTGGCTATCCTTCTCCTTGCCTTAGCCAAATTCGGCCATCACCCCCCTCACCATGTCATGGGGGTGGCGGTATGATGCCCACCCCCCTGCGTGTCATGGGGTGGCTCCCAATACTTAGCCAAATTTGGAGATACATGGCGCGCGTGGTGGCATGGAGTAATGGGCCCTAAAACCCAATCTCCATGGCCCACTTAACTGATTTAAACCGATATGATTAAGTTGGCCTTATAAAGCCATTTAATTCCTTATTTTTAACCGATGTGGTACAAGGTTAATTTTTATGGGTAAACAAATGCCCCCCACAACTTAGTGTATAAGGATTATGCACTAAGTTGTTTAACAGAAAAATATCATCAGTCTCCATTATAAATAGAGTTCCTTCATTTGCTTCATTCTTCACAAATCACTCACCAAACACAAAACAAGCTTTTTACTCTTCACTTGCACCTCTTCTGCCACTATCAAACTCCAAGGTGAGAAACTCTCTCCATCTTTCATTATTTATTTATTTTTCATATTGTCCAATGTACATTGTGGCTATTGGTCATTACCGTCATCATCAATTTTTCTCTCATGATTGCAAGCAACACAATTTTTTTTTTATACATACGTATAACAAGCATGTATATATATTTTGTTTCTCATTTATGGCTGCCATCAAACTCCTATTGTTTTCCCCCCTTTGTGAATGGCCGCCAATGTATATGTATTCATGCACGTGCATTTTATTCCCTTTTTTTTTACGTATGGCCTTTAATATGGATGTATATTTATATTGTTATTCTTTTTGTTGGCCATTTTTCTTTCACCATACACCCATCCCATAGTCGTAGTACCACCCTCATGTCATTGTACCCCCTAACCCCGAGCTTGTAATAATGTAGGATGGCTAACTCCGAGCCAAACAAGCAAGAGATACAAAAAGCAACTAGCAAATACTAGAAGGAGTACGTGGCGTTATGTAAGAAACCAGGATTGAAGATGGACTTTTTGGAAGTGAAAGAAAATGGGGAGGGTTGGCTTGGCCCTTACCTCATTGATGAGAATACCCTCTCTGCTGCTACACTTGACCGGTATCCACTTGGGGGTAGCTTACCTCTCTACCTCGAAGAAGAAATACCGCCTACCATGTTCTTTCGCCCCACCAAAAGTAAGAAACCAGTGTCCTCGTGGCCAAATAGTGATCCCATCTTCCTCAAATGGTAAAAGAGGTTGAAGGTTGACACAACCACTAAGGCACAATGGATGGCATCTGGCATTACCCGTCTATTGGCCCTTTGTGCTGCGATTCCGGATCCAGATGTTCAGCTATTCAAAGCTGCCTTGTGCTTCTGGTCTGTAGGCTCCAACTGTTTTGTCCTTCCTTCGGGTGCGATGACTATCACCCTAATGGACTTAGCCGCCCTCACTGGTTTGTCCTTAGGGGCCAAAGCACCAACAGACCCCACTCCCCAGGGGCGAAGCCAGGATTCCTATTCCGGGGGGGCCAAAAATTGAAAATCTGCAGCTAAGCCAGTATTTCCATGTGGGTGGCTAAAAATTGAAAAATTGCACATTCTTTTGCTTTGATAGATAGATTCGTAAAATCATATTCAAGGTAAATGTTTTGAATATTTTTTGTCTATTGAATCAAGAAACTTCACGTTTTGTAGCTAAATTTTATTATTTTCATTCAAAATGCACATTTACAAATATAATAATTAGGTTTAATACACTTGTATATCCAAAACTTTCACGGTTGTGCCAATAATATCCAAATTTCCCGGAATATCACTTATATCCATGTTTTAAAGTTGTTCTTTGCCAAATCTATCCATTTTCCAATATATATTTTTTGTTAAATACACTTGTATATCCAAAAACACCATTAAAGAATGTGAAGGAATTGGATATAAGTGGTATTTCGGAAAATTTGGATATTATTGGCACAATCGTGAAAGTTTTGGATATACAAGTGTATTTAACCTAATAATTATTGAATGAATCAAAACAAGATATTCAAGGTAAATGTTTTGAATATTTTTTGTCTATTGAATCAAGAACTTCACGTTTTGTAGCAAAATTTTATTATTTTCATTCAAAATGCACATTTACAAAGATAATAATTATTGAATGAATCAAAAGAAGATATTATCCAATAATACAAACAATAAATAACTAAATACTAAAGGAAGTAAAATTCAAAATCAGTCAACAGAAAAGAAAATCCGATAAAGTTGTTGAAAATGATAATAAAGGGTTTTGATATTATCAAATAATACAAACAATAAATAACTAAATACTAAAGGAAGTAAAATTCAAAATCAGTCAACAGAAAAGGAAATCCGACAAAGTTGTTGAAAATGATAATAAAGGGTGAAATAATAGTTAAAAGCAGTACTAGGTAATTAGAAATAATAAAAATCAATTAAAATGCAGAAACCACGTCCACGGGGATTTGAACCTACATTCAACACCTCCCAAATCAAGCATTCTGACAACTAGTCTACAACACAACTTTGAAATACTCGTTGCTACTTGACTTAATTTATAAATTCCCGGGGGCCCATGGCCCCCCCGGCCGCTAAGCTACCTTCGCCCCTGCCACTCCCCTTGTTGAGCAAACTCCTATTTTGCCACAATCCTTCATGAGTTTGCACCAGCAATACTTGCCCACTGATGTAGGGGCAGCCATCACCCAGAAGGAGAGGGTGGCTTTCATCCACTACTGGTTATACAGGTTCATTGTCTGCCCGACTCATGGATGTCCCCGCAGGTCTCTATCTCATATCTCGTACCAACTTTCTGATGGGATTCCTCGTGCTGATTTTCTGGAAATCATTGGCACATCTCTACCACGACATGCACACCCTCATTCATCAAGCCAAGAAGGGTGTCACTCCTACTAGCAACGGTCCCCTATGGTTAGTGCTCCTTTGGATTTATGCTTATTTTCCAACAACACGGGGTGACCTTCCCCTCTTGGACCAAATGGACCCCAAGCCACATTCTTATGGCTTGTATTATGCGAAGGCTCCCCCTTTGATGCACAGCTTTGATAGCTACTTTGCTCAATTCTACAACTTAAAAAAGGGTTTCATATTTACCCCCTTTGCTAGTCGAGCTGTGGGTCCTTCCTCTTTCTCCATGGCTTTCTCCGCATTCCCTGCTAAAGGAGAGCCTAATACAAACTACGAGAGATTTGCTAGTCAATGGGTCAACTGGGTGGTAGCACGAGACCTCCTTCTCAACCCAGCCAATGGAAAAAATGCAACTTATGTGGAGCCTTACAACCCTCACTATGTTGCAAGACAATTTGGCTTGATTCAAGGGTGGCCTTTGCCGAACCCATTCTCACGCCAACTTGACACCCCCGGCGAGAGAAATCCATTACAAGACAAGGAAGTGAAGAAACTTGAGGCATGGCATGCCTTTTTACTCACTTATGTTCCATTCACACCCTTCAAGTCAAGTCCATACTCTACTCCTCTTTTCAAGAGAGTGCTCTAAAAAACATTGAATGATCTAAAGCTCTTCGCTGGTAATCCTCAAACCATTGTCAATGGCCTCCTTACCAATGTGCCTCAAGGGGAGGGCCCCGATGGCCAAACCTCGAGTAATGGTGGCAAGGGAAAAACTTTCACACCCAAACATCCAACACATCATCGGCCAAACGCCCTGCATGTAAGCCTTCTTCCCATTGTAT